AGGACATCTGCTGATGCGCTCATTGAGGAGACAAACTGGGTGACCACCGTCTTGGCGGCATACACACCAACCACAGTGGTCGCTCCAGTGACGAGGTAAGAGAAGGACCTTCTCGCCTCGCTGCTCTCCTGGGAGGACTTGTTGGGGTCCGTAACCTCGGGGCGACGGTAGTCTGTAAAGTCAGGAATCTTGATATCTGTATGGGCCAGGCGGATCCCCCCAGGAGCTGGAGAAGAAACACAAGATGTAGTTTTTAAAAGGCACGAGCAGTTAATGGGCAAATTGTAAAATATTTGGTATCTTACAAAACAACATTTAAAGTAATGCTTCTCTGTCACACTGTGTCCTCCTATTTAAGGCTCAATTACTAGTAGATATAATAATGACTAGATTAATTGATCATGATTTGAATGAGAAGGACATTTATAAAGAAACATTTGGGATTAAATGTATACTGATTAATATATTGGATCCCGAAGCATTAATCGTTATAGATATGAAACCAGAGTGACCTTTTTTTTTTAAAGCTGGTCAGAGCAAGTTATTAGTACTAGCGTTAGTCTGGAGACATGAACGGCAATAAAATAGAGAAGCATAAAATGTACACGCTGTTAAAATGAACATGTTAATTAATCAGTATGAAGTCAGTATATTACGTTGCATCGTCACATCAGCACCACCGCAAACTCCGCCCGTTACATCCAACGTCATATAGCCACAAGTCGGCCTTACCAGCAGAAGGCACCAAGTCCTTGGCAGCAGAGGACCGCAGGCTTTTAACTGTCTGTTTTGTTGCCTGCAAGTAAGGGGAAAGAGCCCCGGCACGAGCGGACATGGACATCATCTTTGCCCAGAATAAGGGACTCCCACGTCGAAACTGTGGACACGACCCGACCTTGCGAGTAAAAATCTGACGTGCACCTCGCTGATGTGCTTTACCAGAAACTCCCTCCGCCCTCTCAACGTTCCGCATTAAGTACGGTCTGACCGAAGTGTCCCTTTCGTTTTTATCTTATATATCGAGTAATTCTATTATTTTAGATGTATTAAATGAAGCCACCATTACATGTTATATATTCAGTGTTGACATATAGCAACAGTTTTGACTAACATGGTTGAAATCCTATAATCATTTAAAATAACGTTTGTTTCGGTACAGGCATTTTTCTAAGGCAGCTGTATCCAGGGGTCCTCATGATGTAAACAAGGGTCCTCACACAAAATATGGAGAGGGGCTACACAATGGTAACTTGAGAGAGTAAAATAAAATAAAAATGAAAATACCAAAAAGAAAGCTATTCCTGCTAATTATTTTTGCATATGTGGCATTTTCACTCTATGCTGCATATAATGTCTTCTTCAGCACCAAAGTCATCTCCCGTGTTCACAGGGTGGTGAAGAAAGAGACGGGGGCACTCTCGGGTAATTACACTTAACCGTAACCGTTATCTAGTCCCGATTGCAAATACACTGTTAGAACCTCGTTCCGTTCTTATAGTAACTAAGATGGAGGAAATGTGTGCCTATAAGCTATAATGTAAATTGTGTGTTGTGTTTGCAGGTGGCGTAAGAGATGGCGGTGCTGTTGCTCCATTCCTAGCTCGTGATTGGAATCCGTGGGAGGATGAACAGGTGGACTACAACTCTGCTCTGACCAAAAAGAGGGAGGCTTTCAAACAGCACCTGGGTCGAATTGACAAGAACAAACCCAAAAGATACAGGGTACAAATCTGGGGTAAAGCTGCCATAGGTAAGTCGTGGTATTATATAATCTGTCTGTCACAGCCTGCAGAGAAGGTCTGTGGTGGGATTTGGGCGTGAAATGACAATTGTGTGACATCACAGTGCCATTTTGATTCTTACAACTACAGATGATTTAAAAAACAGTTTCCCTTTTTATTGAATTAGATACAAATTTGAAAATGTTGTTTTTCAAGTCTTCTGATTGATGCTTTTCATTGGCCTCTGGTTGTGTTAATTTCAACATTTTTATTGTCATTTATTCAATTATTCTGTGGAACAGAATGTTATACCTCACTGAAGATGAGGGGCAAGAAATACAGAAACGAGGCAATACAACATAACAAATAGACAGTACAGTCTGAGTGTTATGTATAAAGGAATACAGAATACAAACTGAACATCATATAAAAGAGTTAGAGTTAGAGTTGTGTGATGAAAACCGGCAGCAAGTCTGACAGCCAGAGGAGAAAACCTCTGGGTCCCTCTGACAGTTTTGGCCTTATGTCAGTAGCACCTGCAACATGGCCAACATTTCTAACTCACATTGTGCAGTCATGCATTGATAAACATCACTGATCTTATATGATGCGAACAACCAAAATAGTATTATTTTGTACGTGGTGTGGATGTAGAGAAGTTGAATGAACATTGAAAATAATATGTATTATTGAAAATTATTACATTTGTTATTACATGTATTTAATTGAATTTATCTATGAAATAACTGAGAATCTGGATGTTATTATTATACCACAGTTGCAGTGTAATTGCAGAGGGCAGGAAGATACTTGGTGAACAGTGTGAACAGTGTTTAGAAAGGGGAAATTGTATTTTACATGCGATTGATAAAATAGATCTTTAAAAAAAATGTAAACAATGTTATTAAGTAAAATATAAATGATATTTTAATTGTCTTAATGTCTAGAATCAAAAAGATTTTTCAAAGCAAATTTTGGGGGGGGCAAAAGTAAATTATATATAGTAGTAGATTAATCATATTGGTGTAGATCAGAGTTTAAATAAAATAAAATAAACCAGATTAAGAGCGTAGCTATCAGCGCACCAAACACCAAATTCAACTATGTATCAAACATGTTTTGAAAGGTTGTTAAAAAAATCCCTCTAAATCATAATTCTTCCTTACTTGAGACAAAATTCTTGCATTAGAGAGAGGTATACCACTATGATGGTTGAAGTGACAGTAACTACAGTATATACACCTGATGATACCAGGAGTGTACAGAGTGTACAGACATAGAGACAGATACAAACTACATTGATGCTCTTCTGCAGAAGACAATAATACAACATAATGGCTCTGCACAAGTTGACATTTGAAATCTGGTAGTAAATGGCTGTGAACGCTTCTCTTCTCCTCAGGGATTTACCTTTGGGAACATATTTTAGAGGGACCCCTCAACCCTACTGACAAGATCGCACAATGGCGAGAGGGAGAACTGCAGTCAGGAAAGATTGATTTCAGGTAACAAGTCAAACATGGGAGACTTAACAACTGCCAAATCCAAGCATTTGATCTGCTTTTGGGTCTCTGTGAAACACACCACATCATATACAAACCACTTAAGACACAACTATCAAATTGACTTGTTTTCCCTCCCCTCTTGCCTCTCCATCTTTAGTTTCTACACAGGTCCTGCTGTGGTCCAGGGTCATGTCCCTCTGGATATGAACAGCCTGGTTCTGGTTCTGAATGGCCGCGAGCAGCAGAAGGTCTCTTACTCCACACGGTGGCTGGAGCATGTCCAAGCTCTGGTACATTCCCATACAGTGTCAAACGTGGCTGTGGTCCTCCTGGGGAATGAGCACTGCAACAACGACTTCATTGCCCCATACCTAAAGAGAAATGGTGGATTTGTGGACTTGCTGTTTCTAGTGTACGACAGCCCCTGGGTTAACGACAAGGATGTCTTCCAGTGGCCTCTTGGTGTCGCCACGTATGTCATTTCTTACTCGTGTGTGTCAGTGTGTGAGTGTATGTGTACTCAATATCAGTACATTAAACTGCGGGTTGTACTTTCAAATGAATAGCTTTGTCTAACACATTGCTCTGTTTTGCTTGTCTCTGTGCAGATACAGGCAGTTTCCTATGATCAGGCCTAATGCCCAACTGATTACCTCCAACAGGCCATACCTCTGCAATTTCCTAGGAACTGTTTACAAAAATTCCTCCAGAGAAACTCTTATGCAGGTGCTGAAACAATCTGGCCTGGATAACGAATGCATCACCACTGCCAGGGAGAAGTAAGTCATTGTTTAGGACTGATATGACAGAGCTCACTTTTTCTATTTTCTTTAAATGACTATGTTGCTTGTTTATTGACTTGTTTTTAAAAAAAAGATTGATATTGAGAATAACAAGAACCTTTCACTGAGACATTTCTTTTGTATCTTTTTAAACATAACAAATAATTTCTATTATTTATGATACAACTGTTTTAGCTAACAGTCATTGGGGTTCTCCCGTTTACTGAGACATCAAATTCAAGGGCTTTGACATTATTTTCAAGGTCTTTTCTGGTGAAATTCAAGGAGATTAAATCAGTCTAGATTGTTTTGGTTCAAGTTGCCTAATTTTGTAAAACTCTGCCGCCTTCTCTCGAATATAATGGTACTATATGTCACTTGGCTGGTGGTGCTTAACGCGCCCCAAAAAATACATTTGAAAATCTCAAAAGCAATGTCTCTTTCGAGAAATCATGACCTGGTAACTCAAGATAATCAGAATCAGAATCAGCTTTATTGGCCTTGTATGCGTGCTCATACATGGAATTTGACTCTCATCGTACATACATACATAGAATATACAATAAACAAGAGAAATATAAAAACAAGGACATCAAAGACAACAAAGTAGAACAGGGAAACAAAGCATAAATATTAACATTTAAGTACTATGTACAATGTAAATCCACAGGCCTTGTTGTGAGCAGTTTCATGTAGAAACTATTTTCTTTCAACTGTAGTTCTTACATGAAACCGCTCACAACAAGGTCTTGAGTTACCCGGTCATGATTTCTGGAAAGAGACATTGCTGCTGAGTTTTTCAAATGTATTTTGTGTCTAGTTCCATTATATTGGAGAGATGGCCGACATCTCTACGGCCAATATTTCTAAAACCAGGCAGCTCACACCAAAACAATCTAGATTGATAAACAGCACTACAGGTAAGAGGAAAAATATGTATTTTAGATATTGAGGTGAACTCTCCCTTTAAAGTAATACATCACAGAGGCTGAAGAGGTTAGACTTTATATTATTAAACTTAAGAATTCATTTTTGCACAGAAATGTGGACTGTGGATTTTGTTTGCCATCACTTATACTGGAATTGTGTTATATGTTTTACTTAAATGTAAGTAGTTTGCAAACTTTACCCATACATTTTAGGGGCTGCTGCGCACACAGAGGGCATCGGTAAAAATACAATTCTCTGACTTCCTGTATGTGGTACGTAATGCAGTTTGAGAAGAGTTTTGTTGGTTCTTAATGTTGCCAGGGAACCCTGGTGTTATCGGTAGCTACCTTTTTATGTCTTTAGACATTTTAAATGTAGAATTTTACATATTGAATATAAATGTGGTTGAGGTGAGATATCTACAATAGGAATCATCTGATTGGAAGAGTGCTGCGATATATTTAGCACATTAACTACACTTATTCTTGCCTCAGGTGGCTCCCTCAGGAGACAGCGGAAAGCTTGAGAGGCTATCAGACAGCTCTGGCTCAGAGCGAGCTCACTCTCTGCCCAGTCGGAATCAACACGGAGTGCTACCGCATCTACGAGGCGTGCTCCTACGGCTCGGTGCCCGTGGTGGAAGATGTACTGACACCGGGGAGCTGCGTGGCCGGGTCCAGCTCCCCACTGCGTCTGCTCAAAGCTGCAGGAGCACCCTTCATCTTCATCAGTGACTGGAAAGAACTGCCGGCCATCTTGGAGAGGGAGAGAGGGATGAGCCAGGAGCAGAGGGTGGACAGGAGGAGGAGGCTGCTGGAGTGGTACGCCAGCTTCCGTCAGCAGATGAAGGAGAGGTTCACTGAGGTCATCGAGGAGACTTTCTTCAAAAGCGGCTGACGGGAGCGTTTCACAAACAAACATTTAAAAGGTATACAGGAGTAGACGTTCGATATTGGTTTAATTTATTTTGTGGTTGGTGGATAAATGTGACATACTACTGGTGTTGTGAGCCTGATGATGTTCAGTGTAATATTCATGTGCGGGTTATTATAAAACCATTTGTGTGTGTTGTAAAGCTGCCATTACTAGTCATTAAAGGGCCCCATGACATTAGTGTCATGGGTCATGTTTATTATGTTAATGTTTACAATGGTGGAATGTCCAGGTGTTTAGAAATACTAAATTATACTGCCTTTGCATTTTGAAAGATCATTATTTCAAAGATTATTTCAACCATGTTTTATATCTGTTTGTACACACTTAATATTGTGATTTTTAAAAAACACTAAACAAGGAGTAAAAATGAGATGTTATGTGTTTTTAGGCCTCATTTGAAAATGGTGCTTAGAGCTCTTATTTTGTAAGCCACTTGAAAATGGATGTTGTTGCTGTGGCATGTGACAATGTTCTGATCAAAACATAACAAAGGACTTTCTTCTTTGTTCTGTTTATTTTAGTGGTGTGCTGCATGGATATTATTTTATTTTTTTGACATTGCAAGCCAATAAATTGGAGTGTTGTCTTGAAGAGAAATGAGTGGATGTGCTTGTCCTGTGCATTTATTTTTTATACACTGCAGATGGCGCTGTGGTCCAGGTAGTTTTTAGTGGCTACAATGATCTCAGATGAAGGTAAAGGCTTTTTGAAGTTGGGCATAAATAAATGAGAAAAAGCATGGGGGAATCTTTGTTAAACTTATACAAAGACAATGTATCTAATCTGCATTTGACTAATTATTGTCTTTTTCGACTATATGATGAATAACTTCTTAACAATAAAAATACATGAATAATATATTAGCTATATTGGCTTACCTGTGTGCATGAGTGCATGGGTGTATCCAGGAAATACGGGCCCCCTGAGTATGTTTTACCTGGATGTTTAGAGGCCCTCTGCTGCTGTGGGCCCTTATTTATTGCTGGATATCCGTTTATTTGAAAAAAATGATCCTGTGTTTGTGATTTTTCTTTGGATTGATTAAGGGCAAAAGCAACTGCAAAATCCTTACTGTCATTATGTGAATTTAGTTGGAATGCCACATGTAAGCTTGGGTATTTGTTTGTATGAAGACATAAATAAATAAATAATTTGGTTTTCATTACAAGTAATACTAAGGAGAATCATAACGTATACTTTGCTACGTTTTAATCGGTTCCAACTGTTGTATGGATACATAAACACAACTTTATATTTGGGGGCAGGGGTGTCAGTCCACTGGTGTCCACTAGCTCTATGTGCGTGCAGATCCCTCCCTCTCCTTCCTCTCCTCTCCCTGCTTGACTCCAGCTGCTGTGTGCTGCAGTCGGCCGGCCCTGTCTGCCTCTGAGCCTGCTGGGAGTTAGGGAGGGGGGGGAGAGAAACCGTCGAGGGAGAGCGAACAAGGGGGGAGGTGAGTGTGTATATGGGTCCCAAACTGGAAACCGCTACCAACAAGCACACACCCGCACGACTGAGAGCGACTTTAAAGACCTCCGGGTGGATCGCTGCCACTACTTTGCAGAGACCCGTGGAAACCCGTCACGGAGACCCTGAAACTTGCGTGCTTGTCTTTTTTCTTCTTCTTCTGTGGTATTAGCGGCAGCGCTGTTGCGCCGCCCGCACCGACTGCTCTGTTACTTGAGAGGATTCATTGGTTGGAGCAGCATTGCGCATTGGCCCCGCTTTAATTCCACCGTTTATCCAGAGAGAAGAGGAACACCTAACACTCTGTCTTTAAGTGGAGCTTGTTGCAGAGTTAAACTGCAACAAAGTGTCATTTTGTGTCGCGCCTCTTCTTTCCCTCGCCTTCATTCTTTTTTCTCGTCCTGTGTGGGATGCGACCGCTGCTGTAAGACTCCTCGCTGGTTGACAGTTTTTTTTTTTCCTCAAGAAGTTTACAACAAGCTTCGGACGGAAAAAGACAGAAAAATGTCCACGTCGAGGTTCAAAAAGGATAAAGAAATCATCGCGGATTACGAGAGTCAAGTCAAAGGTAAGGCAGAGTGAGTGCTTCTCTGGGAAATGCTCGTCGGAGCCGCAGGAAGATTAATTGGGAAAAGGCTAATGTTAGATTACCTGCATGAGTCGTAGCCAGTGATGTGGTGTGTTCAATAGAAATAAAGTTAGCAGTGTGTGACTTAGTATTGGTGTCTACTGCACGGCGAACAATCATGTGTTTAACACGGACATATCTTCATATAAATTGGATTTCTGTAGAATTACTTCACGGGCCAAAAACAATATAGTGGTAACGTTATTTATGTGAGCATTGCAAGGGTGTGAATTTAAATTAGCATTAGGTGACTGAGTTCAGGAGTGGCCTGTAGTCTTTTGTTTTGCAGCTTTGCACGTGAAAGCTCATAGAGGAGATCACCATGTTTCACACATGAAGCCTATCAAGAAATCTACTAGCTTCTAGTCGGATGTCCAATCGGGTTACAATCTTCTTTTCCCGCTCAGACCGTTTTACTGCCACTTCTTGGTCTGGCGCATTTTATTGTGTTAACGTGTTTAACAACCTGTTACTATCAGAGTTACTGCGCGGTTCCCACAGCATTACAGCGTGGTAATGAGACCGAGGACGGGCAGAGCACATGTTCAGACAGCACACCTGTATTAAGATTCAGTGTGTTGCTCAGGGGCACTTCAGAAGAGCAGTTAGATTGTGCGTGGGGTCATTTGTATTTACCTGTCTATGTCCTTTTCTGTTTATACAGACTTCACCCTGAAGCATAACACTGCTATGTGTGATTTAGAGGAGTGCAAGACTGCGTAATGATGCCACCCTAACTTATCTCGTCTCCTACAAGCGTGCCCCCCCATGCAGGCAGAGCAGATTTAGTTTATTCCCAGACAGACCAGCACAGGAAAGAGGCTTCTGGGTAACCGTGGGGATTTGGCCCCCAGCCAACCAGCTCTGTTCTTCAGCATGGTGAAATACCACCTATTCATGTCCTCTGTATGCAACCTTAAATCCAGAGAAAGAGGGTAGGTTAGCTGGGGTCGGGTGGGGGGCTAGAGAAGAAAGGGCACCAGTGCTGCTTGAGGAATTACAAGATTGCATGTAGTTGAGCACAAGCTCTCATTTGCAAGGAATGTTCAGCACCCTTTGACAATGACTACGGGGTTTGGGCCTGTGATGGAGGAGGATGCTCAGTCACAGGGGATGCTGACCAAGAGATGACGAAGCCTCCCATTTGTCATGCAGAACCCAGCGGGGCGATAACAGCGACCTGATGCTACTGAGAAAAGCTGTTGCTAGAAAAGGGCCGCCGGAGCCTCGGTGAATCAATGTTACGCCGTGTTGTTTTGTTGAAGATGCAGAATTGAATTCTGAGGGTTATGTACTGAGGCTTGTCATGCATTGTAAATATTCCTGTGAGCATATATATATATATATTTTTTTAATCCTCAGGTTGTGTCTAGCTATTTACATAATTTACCGTACTTGTTCTTTTTGCATTGCAAATAGCTTGCGGTTATTCAGTTTGACAGTTGCTTTATTTCTTATCAATCGCATTTAATTTTTTTCGACTAAGACATTTGTGAGTGTGCCCGAGGTTCATCTTTTGTGTTGCATTTAGCATTGACAGCCTATCGCACTCAGCTCACCGCAATTAACCACGGAGAGACATCATGTTGGATATATTCACACCAAAGCATATTCAGACCTACTGGAGAATCTCTACAAAATGTATGCTTCATGTCGAGCATAACAATGGCCCGCCTTTAGCAGGTCGGATGACTCCTGCAGATGCAGACCCCGTTTGTTCTGGAACAATAGCTGCCAGAGTTAGCGGCGGAAGAAAGTGCATTCAGTCAACATCAAGTATTCTGTTTCGGAGCTGCTCCTGATTTTGCAGCTGTGAAGTGTTTTATGAGTTAAGAAAGAGTCTGCAGTGATAATGAGTGGGATCACATCTGCATAGTAGCTGTGATAGCCAGAGGCAGATTGTGGTGAACAGACATTGATTACTCAAGAAGTAGAACAACAAGCGGCCCAGAAAACAGCCGGAGCTGATGTTTTTTGATCTTTTTGGCCTGCATCCTCGCTGTCTCACAGTTTGAAAAATGTGTATACATTCTCACAATATTTAGTCAAATATCTGGCGGCCAGTTGGGGCTCATCTTGCATAACATTTGCCATCATCCTGCATTATGCAGATTTACACACAACATTTCCAGTTTTTTGAGAATCAGCTTTTTGTTATTGTTTATGCATTGTTATTCAAAGCAGTAGATGTGAGGTTTTTAATGTAGTGTTCTACGATGGCTGACACTACTGTTCTCAAACCCAACTTGTCATTCAGCTGACATCCACTTCTTAAGTACCCCCAACAACCTTTTTTTTTTTTTTTTTTTTTAAACCTCCCACAGATTAAATGAAAATCGATGTCATTCTGGCAATTCAAGGAAATTCTTCTTCTATTGCAAAAGCTCTGTAGCAAGGGGATTCAATTTTTGCTAATTGCCAAAATCGGCATCTACATCAAGACTCAGCCTGTTTTGGGAAAAACAAAAACATTAAGAAGATTGGGTTAAGACAGTGGAATTTGTTTGTGCTTTATGGCGCACATCGTTGCAGTCAATTTAAGTAATTTAAAGCCGACTAAGGGAAGGTTGTGGGTACATTGGTATTCTCTGTGGACGGGTGGATCAGAGCATAGCAACCTTGCTGTGTTCTCTCTTGGGCAGAGTGTTGGTTTGATGTCAGGCTGTGGCTTGCTTTTTGTGGCCCGGGGTGTGCGGGGGGTCGTGGCTCTGGTGGCAGGACCCCTTGAACCTCCGTCAGGGGTCCTCTCCCAGATCATCATAAAGGAGGTCCCCTGTGACCTGTCTTCACTGCTGTTTGAAATCAGAGCCCACCAGATGTCGCACATATGGGCCATCTGGATCTGGATTGGGATCATGCAGAGGCAAACTGTAATTTTGCTCTGAAACGGTCTTTCATGTTTTTTTTACTGAAATAAATCCAGCTCGTCACCAGACTTCAGCATGTGATGATGTGGAGATTGTGGTGTGCCGAAGCCACCTTCTCTCTAGAAGGTTCTTCCGAAAAAAAACTACTGGATTATAAACTAGGAACACTTTAAAATACGTAAACAAATAGTCTCCTCGGTGGAATAAATACACTTGCAAAGTGCTTTTTACAGAAACGACAGCCAATAGCCGTTTCACATCAGAAGTTTCATGTTTTGTTTTGCTTATAGTATTGATTATTCGACCAATTATTGTTTGAATCATAGACTGTAAATAAGAAGTGGGCGTAGTCATCGTGACGTCACCCATTGGTTTGTGGACGGCTGTTTTGAAGCCTGGAGTTCAGCGATTTTGCATTTTTCCATCTTGGATTGCGGTCGTCGCCACGTTGTTTTTTTGCAACCGGACCATAATTTACTAAATGAACATCGTGTGTATTGAAGAAGACTTGAAACTAGTGATTGAGACCATAAAACTCATGTTTACAATGTTTACTGAGGGAATAAATCAAGTGAGAAGTAGGGTCATTTTCTCATAGACTTCTATACAATCTGACTTCTTTTTGCAACCGGAGGAGTCGCCCCCTGCTGGTCAGTAGAGAGAATGCACGTTTTTAGACACTTCCGCATCGGCTTCACTTGGCAGAACCAGAGGTTGCCTCCCGGTTTGAATGAACTGATTCATTACGTCATCATCGACTTAAAAATAAACCTGCACATCGCAACTTCCTCGAGTCCAAAGCTGTGTCCTTGAATGTCTTGTGATGGTATTCAACTTTTAAATATATAAAACAGAGAAAAGCAGGATATTAGAGAAGCTGAAACCAGCTTCGTTTTACTCAATCAGTAACTTTAAACTTGTTATCAGTTGGTTCTATCCATTGACTGACTGATTGATTGATTGTACTAACCAATGCTTTGTAACAGTCTTTTCCATCTTTATGAATAAATACACTTTGAGAAAAGCCATCAGACTCCGGTGTCCTTAGGTCCCCTCTGCTCTCTTGATTATTAAATATTGTCAATTAGGCGTTTATGTGTGTGAGCCGAGCTGAAAGGAGCTGTCACTATAACCTGACCTTTGGTGACGGTCAAATTCTGTCCTATTAAGACCAAGCTGGAGCCACCCGATGAAGTGCCTCTCTGCATTCAGAAATCTTTCGGGGTAAATGAGATGCCTTAAGGTGAATGGCAACTTGGGAACCACTACTGTTGTGGGCCATTCACTTTTCTCAAGGTCTTCTCTTTCTGGCCTTCAGCTAATCTAAACAGCCGTGATATGTATTTTTGGCACTCTATGATGCTGCGTTTTAACAGCTTCTCAGAGGTGTTGAGGTTACAGGTTGCAAGACTAACGGAATCCTAAAGCCCCCTGGATCTCCACATCAGGCATCCATCCACACACTTACCATCTGTCTTCACTGCCCCTCCTTCTGAAACTGTGTGCGTGTGTCAGTAGTGTGTTTCCACCCAGTGGTGTGGCACTGGAGTGAGTTTGTGCATTTGCATGGGCGGGTGAATGGTTATTGACGGAACCATCTGTGGCTGCTCACCCCTTTTTGGCAGTTTTAATATACTCTGCTGAGCACAAGCAAGGATTCACCTTCCCTGCTGTGCTTTTCGTTGTAGCCATAAAGGCCACCAGGACGTTACTGCAGGCCCCCCCCCCAACCCCTCACCTCTCCCTCAAAACAAAAATCCGAACCAACCCCCTTGCATCCCTAAACCAAACAAAAAGGCTGCAATTGAAGTGTCACTGTAGCAGATCAAATTGACCCTTCGCTAAGCCCCGCCCCCTGCTACTACTCCGTCAAACTGTCAGAGCTACGTTACGTTGAAGGATGCATTCAGGACGTAAAAGTGATTCAGCAGTGAAAACTAAAAAGATGAAGATAGACGCTCCATCCCAGTGTAAAGGTGAACCACCACATCACCTGGGGATCGAGACAGAAGACGATTAACACTGTTCCCATAGAGCTGGATAGGTCTTTATTCACTGTTACCAATCAAGTAA